TATAAAAAAAAAAAAAAAAAAGGAAAACAGAAAGAAAGAAATGTAGTCATTGAAGGAGATGTGAGTCTCTTTGAGGGAAGGAGCCTAACTTCAGCCATAAGCTGCAAATCTACCTCTAGTCCTAAAGATGAGTTTATTTTTCCTCTGGACAAAGTCGCTTAGCAAACACAGATGGCCAGTGGAATCTAGGATGAATCTAGAATGAACTATGTGTGACCCATGGTGCTGTCAAGTCTTCTTACTTGAGAACTGGTTGTTTTTTATCTAGAGCAGACAGAACGGACTGTATCCACTTGGCGTGAGAGAGCCAGATTCCTTGTCTCTGCATCTCTTAGTGTACTGCCCGGGATGCGCACCACACAGAGTGACTATTTCTTCAGTGACAGCAGGGTTGAGGGGCTTTCTGGATAGGAAGGAAATTTTGTTTTTACTTTTTTTTTTTTTTGTTATAGGGCACGTGTGCTCGCCAGACAGACAGAGAGAGACAGAGAGAAAGTGAGAAATCACCCCCCAGGGGGGGATGGCCACGCCACAATCCCTTCTCCTCCATTCTCCTCTCGGGATCTTGGGCACGCACGCACACGCGCCAGGCGTGAGTTTTAAGCCACCGGGTCCGGGACACGAACCATGGTCGACTATGTGGGAGTCCAGCGACATAGCCATTACGCTAACTGCTGGTCCCTTGTTTTTACTCCCATAGCAGAAGTTCTTAAGGTCTTCTTGGGGCTCCATAAGGTCTGGAAAGAGGAATTCTCATTGCTCTCATTTCTCACGTTCCCAGGTGAAAGTACGCGGTGGTTACCCGTGCCCAGTCCCACCGTGCATGCACCTCCACCACAGGGGACTGCAGGAAGCCTGGCCAGGCTAGCGCATGGTGCTTCAGAGGAGGAAATACTGAGTGGATCCCAGGGAGGAGGTCTGGGAACTACACTGCAGGCAAGTTGTGTGGTCCGACCGAGGGCCTCGGGTCCTACCAGGAGACTGGGTGCTGGTCAAGCTGAATCTGACTGTGGAGGAAGAGGATGGAACCTTCGCCTGGGAACCCAGTGGAGATGAGGGCAGAGAGTCCAGGAAGCCATGACTCTGGACCCAGGGCCACTGGCATGTCTCAGCACCTGGAGCTGACATTTTGGGGTCCAGTTTCTGACTCCCCCTTCCAAATACAGGCTAGTCACCCAGTGGAGGTGACTCAAGGGCAAGACTAGGGTGAGGGACAGGTGGAGAGGCACTGGCAAGTTCTGGTAAGCTATGTGGGTGACCAGGGGGCACTTCAGGAGCACAGAGGAGTAATGCAGGGACAGCCTGGTCTGCCTTCAGGTGCCCCATCTTCCCCCAAAACCTGCCAGACCATTTCCCCTCCTGCTAGGCAGACAGCCACGAAAACTGACCCAGCCAAGGCCCTCACTGGCCACCTACAATACAGTTGGAGCCATTATTTGGGCCACTGGAGAGGACCTACACTGGGCCTTGCTGCCCTGCCTGACTGGCTCACCTCTAGGCTCCAGACACTGTGTCCCAGTGCTGAACCTCCTGGCTGAGTTAGGCCTGTGATCCCACTCCGCTCCTCTGCCTAGGTAACAGCACCGCTCCTCATAACCTCAGTGACCAGCAGGAGAGGAGGAAGGGATGCCCCGATCAGTGGTAGTTGTCCTCCAGCAGCCAAGTCTGAGGTGGGGCTAGGAGTCACGTTATTGGCATGACCAAATGTGATTTCCCTGTGGAGGGAAGGTCAGAGAGTTCCAGAGACAAGTGGAGACCCCACTTATCCCGGGGTCAGCTTTTGCCCTGGCCCTCCAGCCCCAGGTACTGCAGGTCACTTGTGCCAATCAAGTCCATTAGCGGCCTGGTAAGGAATTGGCAGGACTCTGTTGCCGACAGCCTCCTGGAAGGTGGGAGCTTCTACCACAGCCCTTACACCAGGCCTTTCTCGCAGCCAGCCCTCCCAGCCACCCTGTTCAGAGCTGCAGCTCACCCGCAGCCCCGCTGCCCACTCCCCATGCCCTTACCTGGCTCCCGAGTTCTCTTATCACTGCCCAACGGGGTGTAAAGGCTAAATGTGTTTCCAATTAGTAAGCTCCACAAAGCTGGTACCTTTGTCTCTTTGGTTCACTGATGTATCTGAAGTTTCCAGAACAAGCCTGGCTCAATAAATGTATGTCGAGTGAGCAAATAACAAGCAGTTTGGGTATTCCAAGTGGTGTAGGAACAGGAAAGAGGCACATTCGCTGTGAAGTGAGCAGAGCTTAAGCTTCAAATTCACTTCCTCTTTTGCACAGGCTCCTTCCAAAAAATCTGATTCTGGATATACAATGATATATATATATATTTTTTTTTGGCCAGAGGGTAAATATGCTCACCAGGGAGAGAAAAAGAAAAAGTCCCGCTGCCAATGGGGCATGGTAATGCCACAATTCTTTTTCCTTCACTTCATCCTGTTAAGATTTTGGTGACACACACACACACAACTGGTATGTTTTTCAAGCTGCCAGGGCTAGGATTTGAACCATTGACCATGCAGGTTCTCACTTCCTATGTACTACAGTGCTGGCCCTATAATTTTTTTTTAAGAATTATTTTAATTTTACTGATCATTATTTTTTAGAATTTGCTACAGAGCACATGAGCTACCAGAGAGAGACAGAAAGTGAGAAAGCAAGCTGTCAGGTCCAGGACTGGAACCATGGCTAGCCAAGTGAGAGTCCAGCACTTTAACCACCATGCCACCTGCTGGCCGCTGGCTCTATAATTTTATGTTCTTAAAGAGGGTCCTCAAGTTGTATATGCCTCAGGCCCCAAAGAACCTTGCCGTTTCTGGGAGTAGTGCTGCCTACTGGACAAAACATGGATTCAGAGTCAGAAATACCTGGATTCAGATCCCAGCACTGCCTCTTGCACGTGTCAGCCTCTCCGAGCCTCAGCTCCTAATCGTACACTGGGAGTAACTCCCACATGTGTGGAAGCCTTGGGGGAGGGGGCAGCATGTTTGCAGTCATGAATGAACAGGGGAAAGTTTCATAAAAGGATTGTATTTAATCTGAATGTTAATATATGTATTTTGTAGATTTTGTATGTGCCAATTATAACAATTTTTAAAAATGCTTACAAAAGTTTTCCAAGACTTTTGTTTGTAGAATAAATTTGCTGGTGCAGTTATTAACAGAGTCAAAGGCTCCGGTAAGATGGACACCAGGAACTGACTGGTTTTGACCACAGGACGCAGAGGTGACCTTGACAGGAGCGATTTTGGTGAAGTGGTCCAAAAAGACCACCTGAAGAAGGTCCCAAAGAGAATGACAGAGGAACTGGAGGTGCGCACAGAGGACACTATTGACTAGTCTTGCCACAGTGCACCAGGAAATTGGTGGCAGCTGCCCCGGCAAGTGGACTCAGAAGCTTTTTTCCCCTTCTTTCAAATGCAAGAAGTAGGCTGCTGGAGGAGAGCCAGTGGCAAGCCACAACAGTGAGAGTGGAAGGGCAGTCTTGGTACCTCTGGATAATGCTCTTACTCGAGTGGAAGGGGCTGGCCTGGGAACGAGACTGCCATGGGAAGGCAGGCAGGAAAGGGGACCGAGTGCAGCGGTGGGTGGTGTGGTAGCTGCTCTCACCTCTGCTTCCATTCTGTTGCCCTTTGTTGGGGTTTTTGCTCTGAACCAGAAAGCAAAATCATCAGCCAAGTGGGGGTCAGGGAGAGAAAGTGCACACAGAGAGGAGAGGGGAAGCAGCTATGGCGCAGTGGTCCCCCCATGGTCTGTAAGGGTGGAATTCTGAGAAGGCAGAGCTGGGGAGAGCCAGCTAAGCGCCAGTTCTGTGATGAAACTTCCAAGCTTTTCAGCCAGACATCACCTCACAGCACCTGATCTTGGTTGTTGCTCAGTATTCTCCTGCACCCCCTTGTTATGGCTTGAATGTCCCCCCAAGTTAATGTGTTGAAAAAAAATTTTTTTGGAGAGGTTTTCGCTATAGGGCGCATGCACTTGCCAGACAGACAGAGAGAGACATAGAGACAGAAAGCAAGAAATCACCCCCCAGAGGGGATAGTCACACTGCAATCCCTTCTCCTCCATTCTCCTCTCGGAATCTTGGGCACACACGCACACACGCCCGGCGTGAGTTTTAAGCCACTGGGTCTGGGACACGAACCGCGGTCAACTACGTGGAAGCCCACTGACATAGCCATTAAGCTAATTGCTGGTTCCCTAGTGTGTTGTGAAATTTGATAGTGACTTTTTTTTTTTTTTTTTTTTTTT